ACCTCATTGATTTTTTTCGTGAAACGCATATCTTATTACGCATGTGATTACAATAGTGGCAGCCACTCAATTGCTTTTTATGACCAATAGGAATGATAAAATGGCTAACAGCAGCCAATAATCTAAATAAATATACAGCAGCAAGTTCCACACGATATGGACCTACTGTATATTCCATATACTGTTCACAGCTCTATCATACATTTTCATACGGCAATGACTGTTTTGACTTCAGAAATTTTCGACTATTGATGTGTTCTTAAGGCAGTAGCGAGAGACTTGCCGAGCGGAAATCGAATTCGTGTAATAAAAATTAATGCCCAACATAAAGTTCTGATTAGAGCCATAGAAATAGACCGAAAAAAAACAAATTGTAAAATTACATTTATTGTAACGTTTAGTCTTTACTCAAGACATCTTCAGACAAATAATAAATAGGATGTTAAGACAAGATATTATATTTACAAAAAGGTGTTAAATTACTACTAAAGACGGCGGTGTCAAATGGATATATGATAAGGAAGTTAGGAAGTAAAATAAAGAGAAATTAAAAGAGGTTAAGTGGAATGGAGTTTCCTTGCACATTGAGTGAAGGCTTGTATTTATTGATTAGAAGGCTTTCATGAATGGAGAGTTCATAAGAATCGTTAGAAGAGGAGATTATTTTAAAGTCGTCTAAGTTGGAGTCGTGTCCAGTTGCGTTATTGTGAGCAAGAATGCTTGATAACGCAGGGTGGGAAACTTGGTTACCTGTAAGGGGGGATATTTCCAAGTGCTCCGAAAATCTAGTGTGTAGATGACGTGTGGTTTAACCCACATACGAGGCGTTACAGCTTCGACACTTGAATAAATAGACTACACCAGATCTCAGAGGTTTGGAATTTTGTCCTTAAAGGGGAAGAAAGAAGAGATACGTTGGGAAGGGTGGAAAACAAATTTAATAGATATATGTTGTAAGGCTGCAGCACAAAGGCTATTAATTTGTGTGCGAATTTGAAGGGAGTGTATGCCGGTGAAAGGAAGACAAAAATAGATGGGCATTTTGTGAGCAGTCAAGACAGGTGCTTTGGGGGCAAAGGTGTTGTTAAGGAAGCGACGTGTGATTTGGTCAATTATACGTGAAGGAAAACCGTTTTTGGTGAGTGACTTTCTGGTAAATTCGAGTTGTGTATGAAAATTTTCGTAAGTAGAACAAAGGTTGGAGATGCGGTGAAGAGACTAGTGAAAGCTTGTAAATAAGCGGGATGAAGCTGTGGAAGTTGGTGAAGAGGCCAGTGAAAGTAGGTTTGCGGCAGATGATACTGGTGAATTTTCAATTAGTGCGAGAGATATCAATGCCAAGAAATGAGAGCTTTCTGTTTTGTTCGACTTCAGCTGTGAATGTGATGTTAGGGTGTTGTCGGTTCAGATAGTCAAGAAAGAGAGGGACGTGATCGGAGGAATGAAAAAGTAAAAAACAGTCGTCAACGTAGCGTCGGTAAAGTAGTGGTTTGAATGAAGAAGGACATTTATTAATCCAGGATTGTTCGTGAAAGGACATGAATATATCAGCAAAGAGAGGGCCCAATGGACTGCCCATAGCCACACCATCAATTTGCTGGTACATTTTCCCGTTAAAGATAAAGTGACAGTTCTTAACAGCTAGAGAGAGTAGTTTTTCAAATTCTGTTGCAGTGAGTCCGTTGAAGTACTGGTGGTTGTTAAAAATGCTTTTGGATTTTATGTGGATAGTTTCGTCAACAGGTACGTTAGTAAATAGGGAAACGACATCAAAACTAGCAAGGACAATATTACTAGAGTTGATATCGCAATTTAGGATTTCTTCAACAAAGGAGAAAGAGTCTTTGATGATGAGGTTGCTTATAGTGAAGGGTTTTAGGAGTGGGATGAAAAACTTTGCTAGTTTATACGAATAGTGATTAATGGAGGAAAGAATGGGTCTGAGAGGGATGTTACATTTATGTATTTTAGGAAGACCATACAATATACCTATTCGTGAACCAGTGGGGTAAAGTTCTTTGTAAGTTTCTTGGCCGATAGATTTAGCATCTTTCAACTTTTTTAGAAAATCAAGTGAAGTCTTTATTAAAAAAGACTCCTTTAGACCCATTCTTTCCTCTATTAATCACTATTCGTATAAACTAGCAAAGTTTTTCATCCCACTCCTAAAACCCTTCACTATAAGAAACCTCATCATCAAAGACTCTTTCTCCTTTGTTGAAGAAATCCTAAATTGCGTTATCAACTCCAGTAATGTTGTCCTTGCTAGTTTTGATGTCGTTTCCCTATTTACTAACATACCTGTTGACGAAACCATCCACATAATATCCAAAAAGCATTTTTAACAACCACCAGTACTTCAACGGACTCACTGCAACAGAATTTGAAAAACTACTCTCTCTAGCTGTTAAGAACTGTCACTTTATCTTTAACAGGAAAATGTACCAGCAAATTGATGGTGTGGCCATGGGCAGTCCATTGGGCCCTCTCTTTGCTGATATATTCATGTCCTTTCACGAACAATCCTGGATTAATAAATGTCCTTCTTCATTCAAACCACTACTTTACCGACGCTACGTTGACGACTGTTTTTTACTTTTTCATTCCTCCGATCACGTCCCTCTCTTTCTTGACTATCTGAACCGACAACACCCTAACATCACATTCACAGCTGAAGTCGAACAAAACAGAAAGCTCTCATTTCTTGAAATTGATATCTCTCGCACTAATGAAAATTCACCACTTCCGTCTACCGCAAACCTACTTTCACTGGCCTCTTCACCAGCTTCCAAAGCTTCATCCCACTTACTTATCTTCACCAGCTTACGCATCTTCAACCTTTGTTCTACTTACGAAAATTTTCATACACAACTCGAATTTACCAGAAAGTCACTCACCAAAAACGGTTTTCCTTCACGTATAATTGACCAAATCACACGTCGCTTCCTTAACAACACCTTTGCCCCCAAAGCACCTGTCTTGACTGCTCACAAAATGCCCATCTATTTTTGTCTTCCTTTCACCGGTATACACTCCCTTCAAATTCGCACACAAATCAATAGCCTTTGTGCTGCAGCCTTCCCACATATATCTATTAAATTTGTTTTCCACCCTTCCCAACGTATCTCTTCTTTCTTCCCCTTTAAGGACAAAATTCCAAACCTCTGAGATCTGGTGTAGTCTATTTATTCAAGTGTCGAAGCTGCAACGCCTCGTATGTGGATTAAACCACACGTCATCTACACACCAGATTTTCGGAGCACTTGGGAATATCCCCCCTTACAGGCAACCAAGTTTCCCACCCTGCGTTATCAAGCATTCTTGCTCACATTAACGCAACTGGACACACCCCCAAGTTAGACGACTTTAAATAATCTCCTCTTCTAACGATTCTTATGAACTCTCCATTCATGAAAGCCTTCTAATCAATAAGTACAAGCCTTCACTTAATGTGCAAGGAAACTCCATTCCACTTAACCTCTTTTAATTTCTCTTTATTTTACTTCCTAACTTCCTTATCATATATACTTTTGACACCGCCTCCTTTAGTAGTAATTTAACACCTTTTTGTAAATATAAAATCTTGTCTTATCATCCTATTTATTATTTGTCTAAAGATGTTTTGAGTAAAGACGAAACGTTACAATAAATTTAATTTTACAATTTGCTTTTTGGTCTATTTCTATGGCTCTAATCAGAACTTTATGTTCTTAAGGCAGTTTAGTCACACAACTATCTTTTTAAGTCACTTAGAAATAATAGTCAAAAGGTAAATGATGAAGGTGTCTTCTAGTTAATGATCTTGGGGTCACATAAAAAGAATTGGGTAAGCTAAGGCGTAGCTAATTTAAACATTCAATCAGACATAAGTTGAATATGGTGCAAAATTTCAATTCTACTGTGCACGAACCTTTAAAAAATATACTTTATTACCAGTTTCATTATTTTTCATCAATTTTGTATGGTGAGAATCGTTGTTAGAAATACACAAAGCACATAACGTTTTAACGATCGTTTCCATCCACACTATTCAGTATTCACATTTTCTAAAGTCGATAATGATTGACTATAGAAGCTAGCAACTATATAACTAATAGAACCACTGCCATTTATAACAAAATTAAAAAAGATATTTGTATTATAAAATTGCCAAAAGAATACTTGAAATTTTTAAAGCAAAAACTGTCAACGCTATATAAAAACATATGAAAGAGCTGTGACAATGTACGCAATGTTTACAGTTTGTACCACGTGACATACGAAACTATAAGTAGCGAAAGTGGCGGATTCCAATCAAACCCATAAAAAACATGTAATATAGATTGCAAAAATACACTTTCAGATATTTCTCGATTGTAATTAGTCGATTGCAGTGTAGTTTATCTGTAATCATAACATAACAGATGAGATTTTTAGATTAGTCTATATGTAAAGAATACTACACATCAATCAATTTGTGATCAAGCTGAGACGACACAAAGAAAATTGTAGTTTTGTAGATCAATTTTCGGAGCATAATCGAGACCAAGTAATTGTTAAGTGTCAGTCGTCTGAATTAAGAATAAAGTTGCTCGAAAGAAGTCAGATTGAAAACTGGAGGATGTACAAAAGATCGCTAGATGCAATGGAAGCTACCGACTTTTAAGATAAAACTAATAAAACGCATTTTAATTATATCACATTCCTATTTAGTGTAAACAATTTATTCATATCGTAAGCTCCTATACTGTTTCCTATTTCGTAACACTAATAATTTCGTACTGAAGATGGCATTTTGTTACTGCAGAAACATGTTTGCTTACCAAAAATTATCGTTTTTTTAAATGTTTTTTAAACTTGCTGCTCCTTAGAAACTATGGTAAAAGTTTCATACTTATGCCATTGCATCCATTTCGTACAAAAACAGTTTAAAATTCGATATTTTTTTATCATTGACATTATTGTCTGACATCTGTTGTGATGTATGCTCATTGCTGCAAGTCATTTTCAAATTTGAAAACTATGCGTAAAATGTATATAATATGAAACGAAATTTCTTTCTAGTGTTGAAACATTGCTTCTATAACAAGCAATAAATACAAATACTTTATTTCTCAAATCATGCATTTTTTAACCCGATTGTTGATACGCCTATCGTCATATAGCTATATCTATTTCTTATAAAAATGCAGGACATATGACTTCCTCGCACACGTAAAATTTCAACAGTAAATGATTACATGTTTCTCTTTCTGTTACTTTGCCATAAATCATATCGAGAAAATAGGCAACAACACATCAAAACATAAAGCTTCCACTTGTCCATTCACAGCGCATCTCCATGGTTTTTCTCTGTAAACATCACTTTCTGACACCTCCCTCTGCCCTCTACTAACATACTCTACTTTACCTTCACCTATGCATCAGTAGGTTGTGTTTTGTCATCCCACTTAAAGACTCGTCATTTTGCGTATGTTGAATAGTTAACCCGAGGTTTGCATTCAATTACTTATGATTTGTGAGTAAAAAGGCATGAGTTTTACTCCTGGCTTCACTTGTTCCTTGATAAATTCTTGAAGAACGCGCTTCAATTTCATGCAAGATCTGTCAAATCAAAAAATGGCAAATAAAGCAAAAATAGATATTAAAATATCACTTGTGAAGCGTCAAAGACTTTGTGAAAATTTTTGCGACTTACGCATGATAATAAAAAAGTATGATTCGAGCTTATTAAAATTAAAGTTGTGAGAAAATATTTCTATTGTCTAAATTATTTTTTATTTTATAGCGAAAGATATAGTAGGTGCCATTGGTGTAAGTCCAGTACAAAAGTACAATGTCACTGTTAAGTGTCAAAGAAGGCGTCATTTGATTTTGCTATAAATGCATAAAATATTCATCATAATGTAATCAACAAATGATTTTTAACCATTGTGTCGATACACACAAAATAGGCACGCAGTGCTTAAATGTGTGCGGCCTGTCAAGTAAATGGCCACAAAATGAAGCAGTTTCACAACCATAGTTGAAATAATGACGCATATTTAATATCGTTTAAATCAAACATGTTTGAGATTAAAAAAATTGTTTTGTGCTCAATGTTTTACATCCCAATGATTCATACATAAATTCTCGTCTATGTAGAAGAGATAAATTGGTCACAAACCTACGCATGATTATGGCGCATACGATAACTTCAAAGAAGATGACTGAGAAGCAAGTGCAGTTTGTTAAATTCATTTAGTGTCCAAAAACTACATAAATCTTTAAAAATACGTACACCATTAGCTATTAGTTTATAGTAAAATAGAACTAGTTATTTAGTTGAACAACAGTAAAATTCATTTCCAAAAATTTCTTTGCGGACGTATGCTAGGAAATAACATTTAGCAAAAATCATAAAAAATTTAGGCGAATCGGGAAAAGTAAAACTTTTTTATTTTTCTTGTACGCCTTCTTTCTAAATTGTCTTTTTCTTGATAAATTTAACCCTCTTACAACGTTAAAGTGTAAGTTTATTGGAATCAGCTATAATGCTAAAATCACGATTTTTGTGAAAACGAGGCTGAAGTCCACTAAACTTGCCCATATAACATCAATTTTTGAAATCAGTGCCTCAATATTGACCTATTTTAGTTCAATGGACTTTAGGCCATTATAAATTGTTTACATTCCTTTCTCCAAAGAAATGTATTTAAAGAAAAAAATGCCCTTTTCCTGTTGGACTACCCTTTTTTAGCTTTTTAAAACCGCCTTTTGGTGCCCCCTTCAAATACCCTTTTATAATATATCCTTCTCAATATATCCATCTTAGATTTGGGGAGTTGCACTTAAAAAATTTAGGATCAGTCAATAACACATTTCAAGTTGACCTTTTGCATGTGTCGTTCTGTTACATATACAATATGCAGCAGCAGCCTGGTAGTTCTACATTCATTAGGCGTAATTGCTAAGTCTAAAAGAGATTTTCTTTCACTGTAAGAACTGTTCTAGTACATTAAAAGGTGTGCGGTGTTGTTGAGGTAACAGTCTATAATAAACAATCACGTCTTCTTAGGCTCTTCTCTAACACCTATAGTAGTTGATATAATTCTCACTGAATTTGAATCGACTCAGAACTTATTCAAGATAACACGATTATATTTTATCCGAGATACGTTGATGACATACTTCTCCTTAACAAACCTTCTACCATTTTGAAGGTTTTTGACAATTTTTTTTTGTTTCGTCCCCATGTAAAATTCCACTACTGTTGATACTTTTGAAGATGATGATCTGAAATCTATCGCAAATACTAACCAGGGGCAAAACTAGAACAAAAAGTGTGGGGGTGTATATTCATATACTCATAACCGCTGAACTGATTTGTTTTGTTAGCGATTGTAATTTAAATAAAAAATCAACAAGGGCAGAGCTGAATATAGAAATATTCACTCACCCCCACCCCCACGCCCAACTAACCTTCTAGTCTCGCCTCTGCTACTAACACTGGCCAATACTTTAAACCTTTCACTATAATAAGATGTCTTTCAATTGCCTCCAAACACAAGACACAAACTCAAGTGCAGTATAAAAATTACTGGCTAAAACAACCAAAGATATATTTTTCTGGATGCAACAAAGACAACCAATTAAATATGAATTATAGAAAGCTATTACCAAAATGTAATTGGTTGTTATAAAACTTTATACTTGTTCATCAGTAGCGTATTTAGCCCGCATGTTTTAGTCATGCTATGTAAATTTTAGAATATTAACATTATTAACTTCTTTAGAAATCTATTGTTTTTACAGTAAGTGAACACCAAACAATCAGGACCAAAGTTGCGAGCTGGCAACACCACTGTTGTCTATACGATTTTTGTTTGGTGAAAACAAGCGTTTGATAATGGTTGCAACCCCTTTTACTTTAAGCCAGTATTTATCTCAAGGTGAACATGCTCAATTTCTCACTTAGGTCCACAACCATGCAATTCTTACAACCTAACAACATTATACTCCTGATCTTGGCAATACTTCTCTAGGAAACCTAATTTTAAACTATTTTCACATTTCACATGCTACTAAAATTACTAATTACAACGCGCTTGCCTTCTGATACAGTCTAATACAAATCTAAAAAGTCTTGACAACAAAAAAAATTAATGTTCATAGATAACATATTTGAAACTTGCGAAATGCTCCTGTAATTAACTAAGAACGTTGACGACAAGTGTAAACTAAATTCATATACCGAAAGACTGCGATCACGATAAATAAACTACAAAACAAGGCTGTTTAAGTCTAGAGATTTTCGTATGAGATATGTATATACGAAATCAGTAATATTTCTTTATTTTTAAAAATATTTTTAGACCATACCGTATCTTAATTTTTAAATTCAATTGTAAGCTTTGAAAATATGATTTTTGTATAATGATTGAAGGATGAGGGGAGGCTTTAATCGTCTCAAAGCTTTTAAAATAACATGTTGAGTATGTTAAGTGTCTATTGCATCGTGTTTTATGTGTAAACGTTAAGTTAATCAGTATTATTATTAACTCTTGCAAGAAAATTCAACTGCAATTTAGGTGAAGTTCTTCGCTAACATTCATGACACTCGCCACTGAGAACATATTAGAATTATTCACAGGGTGTATACTTAAAAAAAAGTATGTAAATAAATACTTAATGGTTACCTGTTTTGGTGGAGATAAAATTTTATCCAAATCAAGTTGTATTTTTTTAAGACAATTATTCAATATAAGTCGATCGAAGTTCGTTTGCTCATTGAAGATCTCCAAAATCTTTTTAGACTTTGCGGAAGGATCTGGATATTTTACGTGGTTTGAAGAAATTTCTTTCAATTGGACTGAAGGTATTTGTAGAAGTAAACTCAGTCGATTCCATCTAGTTGCAACTTTCTGACTAACTTTTTCGATTTCCTCTGGTGTAAGTTTGTTGGAACTATTATCATCTAAAATAGAGTAACAAAAACATGTGACACCAATTTTGTTACACCACATGAGAACAAAAATTTGGCGTCAGAGTGGGAAAAGAAGAGGTGCAATTACCCACCGTTGCATGGAAACGTTTGGCCTATGGTTACTTTACCCTAACCCAAACCATATGAATAAATAGTGTTTGTAAGAAAATTGCTAAAAATGAGCATTTTCCTAACTAAAGCTAAGACTTCGTTATTCATGATGATAAACAAGTAGAGGTTCCCCTTGTCTTCCTTCAGTGTATTCATACACTTCCTATTGTTTGGCTTTTCTCCACGCTTCTTACCATGTACATAACTGAGAATTGCCTTTATCCTGTCTACGTAGGCCCTGTTTACATGAGACCGGAACGAAGTCAAACCGGAATAAAAATCAGAATTTGTTGCATGTTTACATGGGACCGGCTCGAAATCAAGAAAAATCCTTTTCGCGTAATGCCTCCTTTCCAGGCTAATTTTATGCTTCCTAGCCATTTTGCTTTTGTAATTTGCTTTTGTGCGCATGCATTGATGCCATTTCAGACCAGTGTGAAAATTAATTTGAGTTTACATTGATGCCGGTTTCAATTCATACCGTTATGAACTCAGTCGGATCAGTTTAGCAGGCGGTACGACTTAAGACCACTCTGAGTTATTTTCGCAACGGTCCCATGTAAACATGTACTATAAATAATATTATGACCGACACGAGCTGGTACCCCGCTTTGACTTCGTTCCGGTCTCATGTAAACAGGGCCCATACTCTACTCTATGTCTACCTCTTCTTCTTGAAACGTGCTCTTCCTGTGTCTTTTTCATTTACATACATTGATGCATTATGTAAATAATATTTATTCCTTATTTCTATGGAGCAATGTCAACAACATTTAAGACAATCTTGCTGCAAATTACAAGGAAGTTCTGCTTAGAAAACACGAGTAATATTTTGACTGTGCATGGAAACAGGGATTTCTTTACTAAAAGAAATATACTTTATAGATAAAGAAAGATGAGGTGGAGCAACAAAAATTTTCCGTCAACTGTATGTTTAGCACTATAGAAGAGTGTTGAAGTGACCTTTAGTGATTTCATTAATTGCAAAAACGTATTCATTAAATTGTCATTTCACCTTTGATATAATGGAGCTTTGTGATTATCATTCATTGAAATTTAAAAAGTCGAAGCATTGTGCATAAATAGTTGAGCACATTTGTTGCGCCTGAGCATTCATTTTTGGCAATGCAGTTTGTCATGGAATTCTTACAAAAAGTTGTCGATTCTGTCAAGACCAAATGAAGCAAAAGACAATCTACGTACTCTGTAGGTACATTGACAGTAGGATCAGTAAAGTAAATATGATGCATGCATAAATATGATGCATGCATAAATATTTGCTGTTTTTATACATACGTGACTTCTTCAATTATTGTTTGCTTTTTATAATTTTTCACCAGATATAAACATTTCATTTATAATTATGTTGTATTGATGCAAAACACGCAATGAACATCACTTGCATTGTATTTATTGCTGTTTAACCACAATTCAAAAATGCGTAGTTATTGCGCGCATGTTGCCGTGTGGCTTTGAAGAGAAAAAGTATCAGATTTTCTCGTAACGTCTCAACACATATCATCGTGCTGATTTAACTCATATTTATCCGTGCTAATATAACTCGCGTGTTAATGTTGGTAAAAATGGACAAACAAAAAACACGCTTTTTCGTGTAATTTTAGCACATGCTTATATGCGCTGATATAACACACGTGTTAACGTGTCGTAAAAATGGACAAAGAAAAACACGCTTTTTCGTGTAATTTTAGCACACTTAATTTTTGCAGTGCAGAGTTTCTGGTGGATTCCTTGAATCTGACTTTAAACTCTCTATGGTCGGGGGCCATAGTAATGTTGGAGCTGTATTGATTACATGCATTTTGTTACATCCTCGCGAAGAATGGTTGTTGCTCGCTTGACTGTATTGCACCGGAATGTCTCTAAGATACTGGTCAAATTTTGTTTAGCCAAACAGTGCTTTGCTTATTACGAGTTGTGAAGAATGTTTCTCGTACGAAATAAATATCAACTGGACTTTATAATTATTTAACTATCGCTGTTTTAACTTGTAAATTTGCTGCTTAACACTCCCATTTATTCCATAAGTAGAAACTAAAGTTTCCATCGAAACGCATTTTTGTTGCGCTTACACAAGCTTTTCAATCACGTGGCAAACCGATCGAAAATCTCCAGTAACATCAGTTTCAGAAGAAGACTTTTTTGTTATTGCTTCCCGTGTAATCCTTGTATAGTTGACATAGCAAGTTTGATGCTTACTAAACACCTTTGCAATCAAGTCAATACCTGTAATTGCAGTAATTATGGTCTGATCCTTTCTTAAAGGAGCGGCATTTTTGAGTGTTTGTTCAGCCGATTTTTTAGCTAACAATATTAGTTGGAAATTGAAATTTTCCACAAACTTTAATTCTTCCTTTTGAACAAATCATGCATATTTTAGGAAACATCACTGCAGAGCGTTCAGAACCTGTCGAATAACGTCTCGCAGGTCGTTTGTTGCTTCTTGTGGCTTCATTTTCGTTTTCAAATTTTCTTTTTTGAAGTGTTAATAAGTAAATTTTTGATAACATTCTCTATGAAAGTACAAAGGTTCTTCATTTAAAAGTGCTGGAATAACTTTGCACTGATTTTCGTGATGATTTTCTCCTCCAAGTGACTGGCCTATTTTCTTGCATTCAATTAAACTTCGAAATGACATTTCACTCAGTTTGATCAATTTATCAGGTGGCAAAAAAATCGTAATGAATAATATATGAACAAGAATTCATGCCGATCGTCAACTTGTTTTCCTGTTTACTTTAAAACATGAGTAAGTTGTTTTTATATGATTTCCTAAAGTTAAGATTTGCTAGGTAATTCAGTTTCGTGAAATTTCTAACGCTCAAAGCTTCAAAAAACTCCAAACAGTCTTAAAATGCTAAAATCACCACATTAAATTATGTTTACACCAGTGAACTCGATTTTGAATAATGGTTTAAAGAATTCTTACTTTGAAATTGTAGGCAAACGCCCCCCCCTGGACGTCCGTATAACACTGATTTTTGAAATCAGTGCTTCTAAATCGACTAAAATAAGTTGGTTCCATAAATTTCACTGTCGTGTTATCTTCACCCCCGGCATAAATTTGCCGAAACACGTTTGCAAGATAAAAGTTTTTTTTATACATTCAGTATAAAATCAGTAAACATGTAAAATAAATATCATTTTGGGGGTTGGGATAAAATGCAGATGCAAACAGACGGACGGACGCGCAAAAAAATACAGACTACCGACAAAAAGAATAAAATACAGATTGTGAGAGGAAAAGAACAATCCACCACTTCGCCAATAGGAAGCAAGTATAGTATGTTCGCATGTCACGTGCTAGAAAATGTAAACGTTGCGTACATTGTCACAGCTCTATTATGTATTCTTATACGGCCGTTGACTGTTTTGACTTGAAAAATTTCGAGTATAAATGTGTTCTTTTAGCTGTTTTATGATGCAAATATGATTATCAATTATTTATAAACAACCACGGTTCTGTTAGTAATATGGGTAGCTCTTACAGTCAATTATAATTAAGAGACGCAGGAAAATATGAATATCGAATCAGTAGTGTCACTAGTGTGGGCTAGTGGAAAACAAAGGCATAAACGTGATGCGCTTGTTGTCCTTGTAACAACGATTGTCGCTATGCAAACTAGATAAAAAAGAATGAAAATGGTGATCGACTTTATTTCCATCGGTTCTCAGCGCCAAAAAAATATTTGCGATGGATTATAGTGTGTGCGTGTCATTGTGGGATAAATTTATATGCTGAAGACAGCTATATTCGCCATTTGTATTTGGAGTCAATATATTACAAACTTTTCTTTGGCAAGGTCTTTGTCGTTGTAAAATAATACAAATATACTGAATCAATATTTTAATACTATTTCTTAAAGTTTGGATAGCAAGAATCATTTTTACCAATACCCCAAGCGCATTGCTTTGTTGTCACCCTTTCGCCAGTTTATTATTTTATTCATATGAGGCGGGCTTGCCCGACAAGTACAAAAAAAATTAAGCGCGCACGCAGCATAAAATATAAATTCCGATATTTCATGTTTCTTTTATAATACAAGCTGAAAGAAACTCAATGTTATGCATTAGACTATGGTCCACCTAAAGTTGTTCTTTTGCTTGCCCTCTATTTGGCATCAAATTGAATTTCATTGTCATGCGCACTAGTATAAATTTTGGCCCAGCATGCCGGGCTAATCCGCATAGTGCATTCACATGAGCCCGTTTATGCCGAGGTCTCGCCTCGCTCAAACGAGATCCCGGCAAGATGGGCCAGCCCGCCTCTCATATGAATCAAATTTGAAATTATATGTTAATATTAAAGGAGGCGAGATCTCGCTACTGCGGGCCAGCCCGGCTCATATGAACAGGCCCTAAGTTGCCCCCCAAACTTGAGTCTGCGCCCTCTTCAATAACATAGCTTCCGACGAGCAAGAAGAGTATCATATTTATAATACAGATAAATATTTTCCATGCGTCAAAATACGATAAACCTAGACAATACAGCAATGATGTTAGACGAAGTGAAAGAATAAACTGCTAACTATCCAATTCTACCCCAACTAGCTAACTATCCTGCTTTACGATATACTGCACGCAACTGGCTTTTAGATGTTAGAAAAATTTAACCAAATATGTTTGTATTATAACTAGTGAAGCATGAGATGAACTCCTAAACCTGTTCATAAAAAGTTAACATTCTCATATTGCTATGTAATTACTAATTATCATTATTATCTGAAACAAAACTAAAGTAAAAACTTTAAAAACTAAAATGAAAAGTTCGAATGCAAGCTACCGTGAGCTTCCTCAGCTTCCATAAAAAACAAAGTATATGAACAAGCACCACAAATATAGCTAAACTATGGAACTGGATGGGGTTATAAACATGTCAACTAACATGTTTAGATCATGCGCAACAGTGGGAACATTTGTTGCTCAGTCTAAAAATACGCCCTGGCTTTAAACAGAATGTCATTTGTTTGCACAAAAAATGCGAGTGTTTTGTTTTTAGCTAGTTTGACAAATTCTAAAATTTTTACAAGGTTTGTCAAATTCTAAAATTTTCACATGCAAGAAATCATTAGGCATATCAATCTAAGAAAAAACTTTACCTGGCAGATCCAGTTCATGTTTTGTTTGCAAGTCTTTCAACATTTCTCTGTAATAGGCCTCATGGGGACTGAGTGGAGCATACTTTAATTCATCGATTTCAGCTTGTTGAATACCCAGACCAACCAATGCTCTTGATATTTCTTTCCACAATCCTTCAAACTCGCTGTCATCAAGACTAGTTGTAGTTATGTGACCCATCACTATGTTTCTGTAAAACCTTATTCTTACAATATCTGATGAGATTGAAAAATCTGAAGAGGGAGGAAAAGCATTCCATCCAGTAGCTGGTGGATTCAGACCACATAAGTTTCGTAATAAGATAAACAATAATGTGATAGTAAAGTTTTCAACGTCCGGAGAACCAGTTGCTGGGTAAAGAAGATCCCAATCCCCTGAAGAGATGACTTTGCGTTTTAGTGATGTCAATTTCCTCTTTGTACGAGGATCATTAAGTGTGGCACGTAAATTTGATGGTTTTATAAGAGATTGCAATGTTTCTCTCAAGGCTTGTGTTCCTTTATTTATTATAAGCTTGTTCAAACGAGATCCATTTGCCTCCATTTTTAAATCGTCAGAGTGTAAAGCCATTTTTCAAACTAAAAATAAAGAACAAAATTTTGGCAAAAGTAAGTTGAAAGTTAAAACTTCATACGTACGACGAAGTTCATTAGTTTGTATACTCTAGCGACTCTAAGTACACATTGTTTTCCTCCTCGTGTTTATTCGTGTACACATTTTACTTTTATTCCAGATGATTAAGTAAACCGATATTGCCAAAAATCAATCAAATTATGTAGATGGGGTCTCAGTTATACAAGACTACAGACTAGCGTTGAGAGAAGAAATACCATGATGAAAACTCAATTTTAATATCATGACGTCTGTGCATGTTAACGCTATATGGTATAAACGACGACCTAAAATGAGGAAGGCAAAAGACAAGTATGGAAAAAGCCCGAATCTTTGAAACAAGAAACGGAAACAACGAATATTCCACGAAAAATTTATGCGACGGTGTAATTTGTATTTTAAAAACTTTTTGCTAAACCTTTGAAGTCTCGAACCTCGTTAATTCTACGTTGTAGACTTAATTAACTTAAAACTCTACCCTCTTGTTATTACTTTATTAAGCAATCACTTAATGGTTTTTATACTTGGGTGAATGGTGTGATCCAAACACGAGGAAAAAAGCAAGAGTTGAGAAAAGCACACAAAACACGAACCGAAGGCAAGTCAATTTACAATTTTTCAAACCTTGGACAGATTCTCTCGGGAGGTGGGGGTGTCCAGGATGATGCCACACCCCAATTATTAGATTTCAACCCCCTCCCCCAACCCTAACTAAACTGTTCAAACTCTGAAGGTATATTTTAACACATCCACAATTTCTAGCAAAACCAATCAGTATTACAGTTAAACTTAACTTTTCTGGATATTGTTTCAAAAAATAAAGAGAAAGTTTTGTGCGATACTTAAGTTTTAATTAAGGAGTTTAAATAGCCACTTGACAATAGATATTTTAAATATAATTAAATATAAGTGCTGGCACCATAATGTAGCTTTCATTTCGAAAACGAGACATTTTGTCTTTTGAGTCTGCCTTCGAATGCGCAGCATTAAAACTAACTATACGAAATGAAAACAGCAGCAATGGTCTATGCAAGAACTTAAACACGTGCATTAACGTTTGAGAAGTTGGCAGTTGCAATAACAAATCAAAACAGCAAAACGTACTCCAAAAAAAATATATCTGAGTAAGCCTCACATTTCTCTTTGTTAAAGTATACAGTTGCATGTCTTTTTTCCAATTCACTAACATGTTTGCGCAAATTCGACTTTATCCTCAAGATTAGGCACTTGTCAAGAAAACTTAAGCAAAAGTTTTGAAACTTTTAATTTTATTACTTACGCACAGGTCCAAAGCGCAATTTGGGGTGTGGAGGGTGGGTGGATGAATATTTATATATTTAGCTTTGCGCGCAATGTTAGTATTTTGTAATTTCAAAAGAAGTTAGTTGGACAATGTTGAATGTGTGCTTTTTGCCCTTACACTGTCCAGTTACCATTCAATAGTTCATGCTTAAAATGCCGATGTCAGGGAAATAACTTTTTCAAATAATTAAATCGAATTTACAACATTTAGAACATATTTCATGGGACGAAGATTTTATTTTCATGAGCTTTTTAAGGCTGGAAGTAGTTGATTCCTCACCTGATGTGACGTAAAAAGGAGAATACGCGCATTCAGTTATAGCAAATCTTCTCAAAAAAAAGCACTGCAAATTTAAGATGCCTCATTGTTGTATAGTTTGACTACATCGTTTGAGAGATTAATCAAAGAAAAAAGTAGAAATGCGTTTTCTCCTTTTTACGTCACTTCCGGCGAAGAGTCGCCTTCTAGGCCAAAAGACCATGAAGATAAAATTTCCGAATCATCAAATGTTCTTATAATTGATATAAATATCGAATGAAGTCATACTTTATTCTTTATTCATACTACACTGAATGGCAATGTAGCTATGCAATTAAAACTAAACAAGCGTAATGTTTCTTCGTAAAATTTTTTGCGTGAACTGTATCGTGATAGCTTGTTTTCAACTCTCTACACTACTTTCGCTGACTGCACTATTCGAATGTCACGTCCCTGAAATCTAGACTCTTACTTTGTCTTACGTCACTTCCTTACCAACTCACCTTAAATTTGTAAGCACCAACGCTATAAAAAATATGAAAATCCGTCCATGTTTCACATTATCCAAAGTGACAAGAACAAAAGAACATGATTGCACTAAAACAGACTTGATCTTCAGCATACCATATACTGAAATAGTATTGGTTTGCGATATTTTTACGTGTTAAAATGGCCAATAATTTAAGACCCCAAGACTAATTCATTCGGTGACTACTCATGCACAAGTACAACCCACATTCATTTCCATTTACAGAAAGTGATGTAAGCTGAAATTGAACTAATGCAACAGCATAAAGGTGAATATCTTTGTTTCAAGAAGTTGAAATTAAAGATAGCCTTTTTGCCAAACTTGTTAGTCAGGGGACATATGTAATAACCATGGACATGTCACTAAGGTGATTTGCCATAGGTGGCATTGAATATTCTGAAAACATGCTCATCCTTAGCAGTCTGAAGTTGAAAGCAGGCATAATATTCTCAAAGATAGAATCAATACATCAAAGACAGCAGTCAAATCAGGTAACATATATCACACACATTAATGTTCATCAAGCACACATTTTCTCAACATGCAAATTATTCAACATAACAAAGTCAACCAGACTAACTAGAAATGGTAGCAATCAATAGAAACTCCAAGCTGATTGACTTGTGTCCAAAAGCTTCTAAAGTGAAAAGATCTGTTTTAGAAAGACAACTCAATCGAAGTATTACTGCTTTGATATTCACCATTTGTGTTGTTGTATTGGTAGGTTTAGGCTTGCATAATTTACCATGCACAGAACAAGAATACAATCATCGGGCAAATTAATTTTGCACAAATACTCAGGATCTAACAATTATTTGTCATTTCAACCCCAAGTTGAAATAATTCAAACAATCAAATACAATAGATTGAAAATAAACTCTGCCTGTTTTAAGACACCAACTACTTTTGTTCTACTTTGGATAGTATAGAAAAATGAGATTTCTGGTCCTTCAGGATTTTACATTTACTGGAATAAAAAAATTCTGAAAAACATTGAATTACTACAACATAACATTTATGCATTTTTAAAGAAGATAATTAAATTTAAAACTGATGATTTGCATAACATGAGGCTAGAGTACAAGAAACATTATATATACTGTCTATAATTCTATAGCTCGAAAGTCCTATGGTTTTACAGTTCTTGAGCTCTATGTCTAAAGTTCTACATATTTTAGTTCAATGTTGGTTCCATAGTTCTAAGAGTACTGTTTAATATTCCAAGGTTCTATAGTTCTACAATTTTTAGTTCAATGTTGGTTCCATAGTTCTACGAGTACTGTTTAATATTTCAAGGTACTATAATTCTACAATTTCATAGCTTTAGCTTCTGTAGTTCTACAGTTTTAAGTTCTATGTTTTACAGTTCAACAAAGTTTGTACTTCTTATTTCTATGTAGGTCTGGGTTCTAAGTTCTAGGTTAACAATAGTTTCACACTCTACAGTAGTACAAGTCCAAATTCTGTCGTTCTATAGCTCTAAGTTCGTTTGTTTTACAGTTCTGTTCTTTTGCCTGCTTAAGTTTTAATGCTACGATAAAATTAAAAGAATCGTAACACAATAAAAGTCATATAAACCATAAATAACGTAAAATAAACATTAATTACATAACGAAATAACTACAGAATAAATAACGATTGCCGTAGTTTGAGATGCACGAAAGAATTACGCCATAAACGTATCGTTTGATAACTAACATATTACAGTTACGTAGTAATTTTTTGAAAGGCTTACCTTAACCAGAGAAATTCGATAAATTCGTATTTTATAATTTAGTAATTTAGCAAACACTACATTTCGTCAAGTTTTCGTGAAAATGGCGTGGCAATTTGACCTCCACACCTGTGCTGCCATTCTGTGTATGCACATTTCACCTACCAAAACTTTATTTTCCCCTTACCTCCCCTACGATGATTTTTCTTGTTTTCCCCTAATTTTCCCATACACAACAACATATCCCCCTTTTATACACCTACGTCGGGTCAGACCATTGAATTTTTTAGTCTGTTTTAAAGAAAATGCATACAAAAAAAGGTTTATCGAAAACTAAGAACATCTAGACGACAAAGTTAGAATTTCGCGTAGGAAGTAATGGCATGCGGGTGGCGCAAATGACACACTGAGTTTTTGTTAAGTTGCTGATCTTCTATTGCCATATATGGTCACAAATTTTGCCTAAAGAAAGATTCTGTTATAATCACTTGCTAAATGGTGAGAACCCTGAAAGAAAAGAGTATTTTGGGCAAAAATGAGGCTCATTTTTAAATGATTTTCTTTTCTCCCTACAACCCCCTACAATTTATAGTTTTCCCCGTAGGTTTCCCTTACCACGTACAAACCACTAAATTCCCCTACTACGCGTTCTGGAGGTCAAATTTATCAATCATAACAATCAATCAATTAAAGCGAATTTGCAAATCGATCATGAACACATTTTAGCGGAAAAATTAAAATGTTTGCCTGTTTCGCATCGCTGTTATTTTATAAAAAAAATAAAAGATGTTTTTCGTGTTTGCACTGTCCTATGCAAGCATCGGAGACGTTTGTGAGAACTCTCGAGAAGGTGCAACCCTCGACCTTTGGTATCGGGCTTGCACTGATCTGTTCTCGATTTTTCTCAAAGGTCTCCTCGGTTTGCATAAGCCCGTGCAAACACAGTAAACATCTTTTATTTCTTAAATAACCAGAAGAATGTGAGCATTTTCATTGGTCCAGAGCCGTGATCTATAAGAGGACATACACACATAATTGACGTCACAGAAAATTTCATGTTTATAAAAACAGACAAATGTCGGATATATTTGAAAATTTATGGCAATAATTATTTTCAATAATTTGAAAATTTATCGTAAATATCTTTATTTTCCCATTCTGAATGGAAAAATAAAGATATTTACAAAGACCTAGTTGAGGAAGTTAACGCATTTGAGCAAAAAGAAAAGAAAAAAACCCGGTTTTCAAACAATGATTTGTATTGCGTCCTCGATAACAAAATTTCACCAAAATTGATAAGCCATTGCTTGTTTATTTTGTTAGCCAATCACATTTTATCGCGTGATTAAGCTAGCCAATAGCGATTCTTCAATCCTATATATCACGTAAGCGTGATATTTGCAAAAAAGTGTTGGGGAACAAAGAAAACAAACAACAAACAGTTTGACCGTTTGATTTGACATTTTTTTTAAATCTCATGGCGGCTCGTGGCTACTTTTTTAGTTTTTATCACAATTAACGTCATACCTGTGTATCTATAACTGTATAGACAACGTTTAAATATTATTTATTTGTTAATCATATAATAACCAGAAGAATTTTAGCAGTTTCATTGGTCAAAAGCTATGATCTATATAAGGACAGACGCACAGAATTGGCGTCCCGGAAAATTTCTTGTTTTAAATGGCAACCGAACGCGAATTTATTTGTTTATTTACCTGAATTCATCGCTGAATGGGGAAATAAAGAAATTAAGAAAGCTTAGTTGAAGCAGTGCATGGACGTATTTAAGTAAAAAGAAACGGATAAATCCGGTTTTTAAACAGTGATTTGTACTTCGTCTTCGATAACAAAATTTCAACAAAATAGATTAGCCATTGCTTCTTTATTTTGCCAGCCAATCGCATTTTATCCCGTGATCAAGCTAGCCAATAGCATTTCTTCAATCCTATAGATCCTCACAAGCAAGTGCAATCCTCGGTTTTCCGTCTCGGGTTCGCAATGATCTGCTCTTGAGTTGTCCCAAAGGTCTCTACGGTTTGCACAAAGCTAAATTGACAGAAATTTATATAATGGGTAAAATTATTCGATACCTATTAAATGAAAAGATTGATGATGATTTCTTTTGCTACTGCATCAATTTATGTAACATGTGACGGGTATTATCTAATTTATCTTTTAAAACAAATATCATCTAAGTTTTAAATAAAAATAGTGCTTTTGAGTAAATTTGTACGTCCACAGGAGGTACACTAAGAGTAATTGTTTTGGGTAAAAATACATTTCCAACATTGATGTCTATTGAAAACTTTGAGCAAACAAAAATTAAAGCTTTCAAAATATATTTTTAGTGTATAAAGTTCATCTTTTGTAAAGCAAGATATAACTGAACGACTTTATTTCAACAACAGACCTTTTTTTCACTCTATGACCCTTTATCACCAAATATTGATATGTGACTTTAGTTGTCCTTTGTTGAAATGGGACTGTTGATAAAACACCATGCACAAGATGAAAAATAACATAATGTCAATTTTACAGAATCGGAACAAAAATAATGTTCAAGTTAAAAATCAGATAGTTTCTGCAGTTTAATTTTGTTGCCCAATAATAACTAAGTACTAAATTGTATTTCTGGAATCTTCACTTTTTCCAGCTTGTTTATAGCTGATTTGCAAATTTGCTAAGGTTTAATATTAAAAAATGTTCATTAGTAAAACATAAGGTTAAAAGAATATAATGTCGCAAATTTGACTATATGTATAATATGCAAATGTTAACATTCCTACACCTAAATATACATCAGATTCTTTTTTGTAGCGTGCTGTATCAATTGAATCTTTACCTTCACAATATGACCCGGGAGCAGCCCAATATTCAGTTCCTCAGTCGAAACGTCAGTCAAGAACAACAAAAACAGTCCTTCTCAGGACAATTTGCAACTACAAATTAATTATAAACATCAATACTTTGTATGTTCATCATATAAACATCAATAATTTGTATGAAAATTCAAACTCCAACATGATGGAGCAAAGCTTTTTCAAATTCATGTTGCAAAAAAATACGTTATAGTTTATACATAAATAATGTACGTTACAGGTAGAATTCAGAAATACGTTTTTAATAATATAATTCTACGAGAATTCCAAAGTTTCCAGATCATTATTTCAAAACAAACACAGGCTCTTCATGATTCCTTGACTTTTTGTCCGAATTAAAATATTGTAAAACCGTAAAGTTGTAAGAAATAGTTTTTTCGTTAATCCTCTTTTTTTTGCTACTGACAACGAGGCATTTTAAGTAAAATTAACAGCAAACATGGTTAATAAAACTATTTTCTAATGCTTCAGTGATAAAATTTTTCAATGTAGTAAAGTTGTCTTTTTATAACTGCGATTTAAATTTGGCTTTCAAAATATCTTGTCCTTCGTGACATAAAGCTGCGTCGAGCCACATTCTGATGTCATTCAAACTAGGTGGCGTATATGGGTTTCTTGAATGACGTCACAAAATAACTCGTTTCACTTTTCTTGAGACAGACAAGGTCTATCAAAAAAGGCAATTTCAGTCACTTTCAAACTACAATAAACATGAAAAAATTTGACCATACTGAAAAGATTTTTCCATGGATATGCTGGAAATATGACCTAGTTTTATGAACTGCTTAAATTCATTCCAAACTCTGGAATTTCTCGCAGCAGAACCGAAAGGAATAGGGATCAAATAAGGATACTCATCTCCATCATAACAGCTATTTTGATTTCTCCCTCAATCTTTTCAGCGTCAAGCTTATCTGATGTAATGTTTTTGCTTAAGCCGTGTGACATGGGAATTGGAGAGATATATGGATGTCCAAGAAGCTGCTGTGCTAAGCATTGGTTACCGTTCTCCAGATATAGACATCTATCTATAGAAAGTACATGACATTAAAAAACAGAAGCTATAAATTTTTCGTCACTTTAATGCTTGTTTTTTTCACGATCTTTGATTGGAAATTTTGCATGGCTATCATTGTATTGACAAATGCTTATTTTGAGAAAGGTAACTTTCTTTACGAAACTACGATTCAATAAAACGTACTTAAAAGTCCAAAAGTTTCAATGTATCTAAAGACCAAACTCTTTTTCCTTATATATTCCTTTATATTTACTGAGCTTAAAGAAATTCTTCACATGTTTTTCTACTTGTGAATGAACGTGAACTAATCTCTCAACAATCTCACGAAGAAGCCTCCACATTCTCTGTTGGTCCTTGTACTATTCCTCCTCCATAGCATTCCCTAGAGTACTCTTTTCACAACACTCCATCTGTGTATACAAAGTTTGCAGAATACACTTTAAATCAGATTTCTCGTCCTAAAGGAAAGACGTTTCTAGTTATTTTTTACATATTTTCAACAACATCATGAACAATTCCCACTAATATATACCACGTGAGACAACAAGCTTCCAAACTGTATATGTGATACTGCAATATTTCTTTTCAAAATGTCTTCAGTAGACTCGGTGTGATAATTGAATTGTTTCTGTGTTGGAACCTCGTCATCGCTAGAGCTTTTATCGTCGTCAAGATTGTGTTTGAATCATTCGTGTTTCCATTGGTCCATGAGCCCTCATCCAAAACTCTCGAGCGTACGCTGGGAGCTTTGTTGTCAAATGTGGTTTTAGGAACAAGAAGCCATGCTGAGTACAATCATTTGGTCATCAATGTTCTGTGACAAAACTCGTGAGCGTGCTCTGTGGTACAATTCTATACCTGCGCACAAATCGAATTCATCATAGAAAAATTAGATCAAAAGGAGTCTCTCGAATTACAATTCCCACAAAAAGAACTTATTGATAACATTACTTAATTAGTTATTTTTGGCTAAATAAAACACTTCCTCAGTTATTTTGGCTAACTAGATAACAAAAAATTAGAGCTCTATCGTATAAAACGCAATGCTTTGTCGCTCTTTGATTCTTATTTTTAAATCATACACAGAGTTGTCAAAAATACATTTTTGTCAGAAAAATTTATTAAGTGTGGAGTGACACAATTAAGATTCTATTTTAGGGCCATTGATTTTTGCCATACATCAAGGATTTGTCTCAATGCCTATTAAAACAAAAATTCGATTTTTGCAGATATTGGTACTGACGACTCCATACTCG